TGCTATACTTTACTATAATAGCTTTATTAGAATTTTGAAAAGATAGATTCATTACTCTACATAACCTTCGACTAATTATCCTTTGTCTAACTTTAGTATTTCAAACATTATGCAAGACCTGTCTTAACATTTACTAGTATGATTAAAGGTTTTTGTTAGGCAATATAATTATTTAATTCAGCTGCACAAAATGTCTGACCAATAGTATGAGTTAAAACATCTTAGCTGATATTTTTTTGTTAGAGTTATTGTACTTCTGCAATGTATAAGTGACAATTTTTCTTTATTATTAGTAACAATTTGCTTAAGCTAGCTTTACTTTGAATCTTTAATTAAGGGTAGTCGATCAGAATAAGACTTTGAATTAATGGTTCTGATATCATCTATTCTTTTTAAAGTATTAATAACTGTTAACTTTCTATAACTGGTAGTTGCAGCAATAGTTTAATAACTATCACCATATTAACGGAAAAAAATTATACTACTGTATTATTATATTACTAATTCTTTAGATATTTTTGTTGTTTTAAAAAAAATAAAATTTTTATTTTGATCTAAAATTAAAATAAATAAACTAAATACATATTTATTTGGTTTGATTTAAGTAAACAATATTTAGAATATTATATAGTTATAATTTTATACAGTCAATTGATATAATCAGTACAAAAAAGCTCCTGAAAGATGACATCTGAAGACTTTTAGTAGGGATCTATAAATTAAAATTGAAATCAAATAATAAACTTATTTTTTCTAAAAATAAATTTAATTATGCAAAAATTCCTATCATAAATCTATGCATTATATTATCAAAAAATCAAAAAAATCAAGATTTATTTCTTTTAAAGTAAATTTAATTGTATAAAAGTTCTTATTATATTACATTATCAAAAATTAAAAATTATTTTTAAAATAATCAAGACTTGAAAATAATTAAGACTTGTTTTTTCTCAAAATAAATCTGATTATACAAAGTACTAATTGTAAATCTATACATTACATTATCAAAAAATCAAAATTTATTTTTAAAATAATCAAAACTTGTTTCTACTTAAAGTAAATCTGACCATATCATAAATCTATGTATCACATTATCAAAAAATCAATAAAATAATTATGACTTATTTCTTTTTAAAGTAAATCTGATTATGCAAAAATACTCATCATAAATCTATGCATTGTATTATCAAAAATCAAATTTATTTTTAAAAAAATCAAAGTCTTATTCTTTTTATAGAAATTTATCAGTTAAGTGATTTTTTCTATAATATATTTACTAGTTATATTTGATCATATTAATACAAAATTATTTTAATTTTATATAAGTATTTTTTAGCATTTTAATTTTCTTGATAAAAGATTTAAACACATTTTTTTATTTCTTAAAATTTTATTTAATAAGAAAAATAAATTTTAAAAATTTCTTTTTTCTTCTTTTTTTAATACAAAAAATTTCAAAATTTCAAAAATGTTTAACAAAAATTTCAGATCAAAAAAAACTAAATGAAATATTAAAATTCATTTTAAAAGAAATTATTAAAATATATTATAAATCTCTTAAATTAATTATAAAATACAGAAATATATAAAATGCTCTTGTAAAAATATTATTATCATCATCATCAAAATTTCTAATAAATATTATCACAATTATATTTGTTATAATCATTTTATATATAGTATTTATAATTAATTAAACTTTCAACTTCTTCTTCTCTCTCATTACCATCACTATCACTATCATTTTATCAACATCAACAGTAACAAATGTAACATTACTATTACTATTACTACTATTATTACTACTGTTACTATTACTAATACAATCACTATTACGGTTAATATAATCACATTCAAATCAATCAATAAGGTAAATAATAACATTTTAATAAATTTACATTATTATTATAATTTTTAATCATTTTTGAAATTATTATAGTTTATCAAATACTTGTTGTTATTGTAATAGATTAGGCCATTGGATTAGTTAATGTTCTGATATCCTACAAAAATATTAGAATTATTATTTTAAATATTATTCAATAAGTAGTCATATAGCAAAAAATTGTCTATTATTTAATAGAAAATTACTATAAAAGTAAGAATTTTAAAATCAATAATAAAATGTTTATTTAATATGAATTTTTTTTAAAAAATTAAAAATTAATAATTTTTTTTATATTTTAGATAATGCCAATGCTAATTTTAGCACTAATGCCAAAGCTAGTGTTAATACTAATACTATCAAATTTAATACTAACGCTAATGCTAGTATTAATACTAATACTACCAAAGCTAATTTTAGCACTATTAAAACTAATGCCAGTGCTAAAGCCAGTATTAATACCAGTATTAATACTAATGCTAGTGCTAATTCCAGCACTAATACTAATACATAAAAAAGTTACCACTATACTATTACTGCCAATATTAATATCAATGTTACTACTATTACTAATATTAAAAAAATGATAATTCTAATGTCAATATCAATGCTAATATTAGCACTAATACTAATGCTAAAGTTAAAAATAAATCTAATGACATCACTACTGCTAATGCTAACTTTAAAGCCAAAAAAACTGATATCATCATCAAAGCTAAAGCTAAAGTCAAATCCATTATCGCTACCATTAAAATTTATGCTAAAGCAAAAAAAAACTGTTGTTTACAGCTTTTATTTTTTATTTTAATTTTAATTTTAATTTCTTTTTTACTATATTACTACTAATATTTTGTATTTTAATTTTTATTTATGCATTGTTAGATTAAATTTTGTTTAAATAATATTTAATTTGTAAATTTTTTTGATAGAAGGGTCAAATATTTTTTTTTTCATTTAGAAAAATCTTTTTTTGATGGAAGGGTCAAAAAAATTTTTTCTTTTCGAAAATACATTTTTTTTATGGATTTCAAAAAAATTTATTTTTTAATTATTATTTAATAAATAAATATATATTTTTTTGAATTTTAGAAAACTAAATTCATATAAGTATTAATATTTTAAATAAAAATGATTTTACTAATTTGATATAATTAAACATGTAAAATTAATATTTTAAATGAAATTATTTTACTAATTTGATATAACTAATCTCATAAGATTAATATTTTAAATGAAATTATATTATAATTAAACTCAAAATATTTTTATCAAGTTAAAAATAAAATTATATATTATTAACTGTACAAAATATAATTTATCTATAAACCAGTTTGCAATTAAAATTTAAATCCTAATTTAAAAAATTATACATATAAAATGGCCAAAAAGATAACTGAATAATTTGGTGAAAAGTATTTATCTATAAATGAGAAATCTCAAAAGAAAATAATGAAGATTATAATATTAATAAAAGCGATAAAGAAAATAATAATAATTATAATGAAAATGAAGATGAAGATATAGATATTATGATGCAAGTTGATATTAAAGAAAGATTAAGTAAAGAAATTATAGAACGTCTTAAATTTTTACATTTAAAATTATTATATAATTTTATAAAAATAACATATAACATCAGTAAATTTAATAATATAAAGTATTACATAAGGTTATAAGTCTATTGAAAACTTAAATATCATAGTACTTTAATATTTTTACAATATGTAATATTTGAAAATTTATGATATGCAAACTTTTGAAGGTTTACGATATGTAAACTTTTGAAAATTTATGATACGTAATATAATATTATTAGTAATTTACATATTAGTAATGTATAATACATCAAAAGTATATAATAAATATATATTTTATATAATTAATTTATTGTGATATTATCTAAATTTATACTTTATAATTATTAATACTTAATTTATAAGATTATACAATTTAAAATTTATTTATTTATTTATTAAATAAATATATATATATTAATAATAAATACAAATATTTTATAATAATAAAAATTTTTCAATATAAATATAAAATATAAAAGAATAGAATATTATAATTAGTAATATTTAAAAAATAATTAGTAATATATACTGTAAATAAATGAAGTTAATAGTATTAAATAATGTAAAGTTAGTAACATTAGTAATATTTAATATTTAAAAAAGATATAATTAGTAATATAAAAATGATAAAAATAAATAGAATAGATATAATTAGTAATATAAAAAAATAATTAAATATATAGTTAGTAAAAAATTAAATGTTTAGTGATAAAATTAACATTAAAAATATAATATTCAAAGAAGTAATATACTTAATAAAAGGAAAAAAGAAAGTAAACACAAGAAATAAAAAAATAAAAAATATATTTTTTTAAGTACGATAGGTTTGTATAATCTTTATTAAATTTAAAGTACATATAAACAAAGTAAATAAAATACAAATTTAAGAAAATACAAAAATCTCTATCTAATATAAACTAAATTAAAACTGACCCTGTATTTTTTCAGAATCTATTTCTAAAATAGACTAAAATATCACAAACTAAATGAGAAAGAACTTGACTACTATAGTACTAAAAATTTATTTAGTAGTATTTATAATGGATCATCTTGTCAATAGAACTATTAATTATGAAATTACAAGTAGAATATGATAAGACATAATCTATTGATGATGTATTTTCTACTTTTATTTTAAGGTTAATATTATGAGATGTTTTAAAAATAATCTGATACAAGCATCTGTCGATCTTAATTAGTTGTATTTATTTAAAGAGATAATATATGAAAACTGATAAAGTTGCAAAGACAAGTGCATTCGAATTTATAGCATCTTTTACATATTTATATAATAATTAAGAAATGATTCCTTTGATTAACGCAATTAAATAAGAAGAGCTATGAGTAGATAGATACTATATTGGCAAACTATAAAGGTTAGCAGTAAAGCTACAATCTTTTAATAATTATTTATATTTTAATCTATATCATTAGACATTTTCAAATGTGTGAAAAGGTTTCTTCTATACATTCATATTGACGTAGAGCTATGATATTTAGATGTTTTATCTTCAAAGATTTCTATAATAGTGAACATTTTAAGCAGCCTTTGAATTTCTTTTTCTAACAGCTAAAGCTTTATAAGAAATATGAGTACTAACTATGTTATCATTTATGTAAAAGATATATTCCAATTAATGTAAATTTGCTGATATTTTTAAATTATATAAAGATGTTTAATGTGATCAAATATAATTGATTGCATAATATTTTTAACGAACAGTCAAATAGAAATTGAAATATATAATTCATTATATTTATAAAAATATTGATCTATATAGGAGAAGTCAAATATAAAAGTAGATATTTTATAGTAATTTTTGCTAACTGGTTGATTTTATCATTAAAGAAATTGCCTAAATGTGTTTTGATTTTATGAAGGTAAACATCAAGATTCTGAGACTTGATGACTTTGAAAAGGCTAAATCATAATAAAAAATTCTTGATTTTTAGGAGTAGTCAAGTTGAGGGTAAGATACTCAGAATCCTTTTAAATTTGTAAAATTGTTGGATAACTACTTGTGAATTTGTTTTGATAATTAAATGGTAATTTGTAAGAGTGATAACAATAGCAGTAAAATAATTGCTAATTCTACAATAGATAAATAAGAAAATAAAGTAACAAAGCTATTGAATATGAATTTATTGGTAAATTTAAATATATTTGTAACTAAGCCAAACCCATTCTAATTGATGAGAAATCTAGACTTGAAGTAAATCATCTGTAAAAATTCTAAAATTGATGTAGCAGAAAACTGTTATAAAAAGATTAATAAGTAATTCACATATGAAAAAGAAATGAATTTAAAAATTAATAAAGAAAATATTAGATAGTTATAATTGATTGAGAAAGCTAAAAGAGATGGATAATTAAATCTTAAAAAGCATAATAGGATATGTTTTTTATCAACGATAATAACCATAAATAGATTTAATCCTTTTTATATCTATTGATAGTAATATTTACACAGTAACTAAGAGGTACTGCTAATAAATATTTATATATGGGGCCTTTGCAATAGAAAGAGAGGAAACTCCAAAAAAATTAAAATTTTAGTTTATAAGCCAAAAATGTTCCAAATACTATAATTTGTTCAGATTTATTATTAACTCATTTTTTATTTTTTTTTGAGTTTCCTCCCTTTTATTGCAAAGACTCCATATGACTAAATTGGAAGAGTTCTTTTTGAAAAAAGTGGGATTATTAAGATAATAACTGATATCTATGTAGCTTTACTTCAGTACTAGTTGCATCATACATGCAATATATAATATCTGCAAAATTACCTTCAGATTTTAAGATTTGACTAAATAATAAGTCATTAATATTTGGATCCTAATATAAGATAAAAGCAAATTTTTTTGTTAATATATGAGAATGTTAGAGAATAACCATATTTTATATTATGTTAGTAAAGAGTATCTGCAAGTAATTTCTAAAATGCATTAATATTGAAAGTTTGTTAAAGTGTCTTATACTATTTAGGCATTCTTTCTATATTAATAATTGATAAAAAGTACCTAAGATCATTAAAAGTGAACAAAAAATTCCCATCACAATTGACTACTTGTTCAATGAACATTAACAAATATGATGCTAGTGAAGCAATAAAAGTTCTATAAATATTTGGAATAATAAAATATATAGGAGTAATATCATCTTATATTTTATATGTGTGTTGATTTAAAAAGGCTATATTAATGTTAAACTTTTTGAAATCACATAAAAAGGCAGAAATTCAATCTTTAAAATTCTTTAATTATTGTAAGATCAACCAATAAGAAGTAATTCAAGTAGCTATTCATCAATTTGAAGTTAAAGAAAATGAATACGTGTAGTCAATTTTAAAATGCCTATGTTATTTATTACTACTAAGAGTACATTATTGAAAGCTTATATATGTCTATAATATAAAGGAATAACTTTATAAAAAAGCCTTAAATGAGTGATACTTACTAACATATCTCTTGATAAGTATAGTTTTTCTTTAAAAGGATTTAAAAGGTTTTATTATATGATCTGAAATAACTTCTGATAGGTATATAAGTTATATGCAATATTTAACATGAGATATGATGACTATGTTAAATATATAAATAAGTTATTTGACTATGTTTTTTTTAAACATGGTGACAACAGTAAATTTGATGTCCTAAAAAGCCTGATTGATTATAAACAATCTGTTTTATCTTAGTGAGATCTAAATACTTAAATAATATATTAATTCTTTAGGATTTATAGAGGTAATGGACTATAGCAAACTATTAATAATTATTTAGATAATGTGAATCTCATTTAAATTTATTAGTAGATCAGACTTAGACTAGTTGATTTATATACTATTGAGATTGTAAAATCTATTTGTAAGATCAATAATATTAATGAAATCTTATTTTGATTTAGTGATCTATAGCATATCAGTCAAAATATGATAATTAGACATAAATTCAGTTAAGTCAAATATGAGTCTAATAGCATTCTAATATACATCAAATTGAAGACTATAGTTCTAGTATAATTAGATAGCTAATAGTCGTATATTTAGACAGATTATTCAACTAATATTAGTAATAAATTTGACCAGTATTAGTAACTTATTCGAATTAAATTCAGAAATATTATTTATATATAGTATATATTATTATATGTGTAACACGTCTAATATATAGCTATTTAACAATTTTTTAGTAATATTTATATATATATTATATATTTATTATATTCAGATTATTCTTAATATAATTAGTAAATTATTTATCATATCAATAATCTTCTATTTCAGTAGGCTTTCTTTTGCCTTTTCAATCAGTAGTAGCTCTTTCCTAATATTAGTTATAATATACAATATAATATTAGTTCTCAAATATAAAAATATGGAATGAATTATTTCATTTACTTTAGTTGTTGTCGTGACAAATTCGTTTATTTCATCAAGTTGCATTTCGTTTATTCTAGCTGATGCCATAGTAAATGATTCACTTCTTTCATCATAATCTTCGATCTCTTCTGTGAAGAACAGGTTGGTTAAATAATCTTTATTATTCATATTATCTTCTGCATTGAAATAATTATAATTAATAAATTCATTCATTTCATTTATTTCATCTGTTTCGTAATATTTGTTATTATTGTTTACCCACTTAGATACATTTTTAGGTGGTTTACTTGAGTTAAAGTATACCTTGTCATTATATATGCATTTCCATTACTTCTTGTTGTAAACCTACTGTTCGGTCATCAGATCTAATATGCCTCGAAGCAATAACTTTAACTATCAAAAGCAAAGATTAAAACAATGTTGAATAAATATTATATAAACATATATTATAAAATAATATCCATCTTTCGTGAGCGCTACAGATGATCATAGACGTGAAGAAATTTCTTTTCTTCAGAGTTCCTTGTATAATATTCATCTTCTGAATCAGATTGTTTGGGCGAGTGATAATCATTTTATTGTAAAATGGATATGACTTCATTCTTGTTGAATCCTGTTTATGTCTAATATAATTCCGTCCGAAAGATCATGAATTAATGAATTGTCGATCGAATTTAAAAGAAAATCTTTTATTTTTGCAATGAATACATATAGTATTTATGTTACTATTGCACGAAATACTGCATTTCAATTGTATTGCATCCATTTTATGCTAAGTCTATGGTTGATTTTCTATAAGATTTTTCCAAATAAAGTTCAAATCAAGGAAAAGGTGTAGTCAATTAACAAATTTTATCTCGGTAAATTTTACCTTCTTTCAATCTTTCGAAATCGAAAAATCGAAAAAAAAAATTTATAACGTATTTTTATAGAATTAATTCGTAGTATATAGTTTATTATTGCAAAATAATGGTAAAATTTAATCGATTCGATTATTTCAATTGTTCTCGTAAGATATAGTTAAATAGATAAATCTTTAAAGATGATGCTGAATCAACAATTCAAGATTATATTTCGAACTTCAGATCCAAGCACGATAAAAATGTATTAGAGGACAAAATTAAAACAATTCTATACAAATACAATGAACACTATTTCAGCCCAAGATAGGAAAGAAATTGAAAATATTGATGTGGGAAATCCCGTTAATCAAAGTCCACTTGTTCCTTCAGCTGCGAAAAAATTTCTTTAATTAGACCTTAAATTAAAAAGTTAAATTCTGATCCATGGAATGCTTCATTGAATTCTTTCATTTGAATATTATTATTATTATTTAAACTTTGCACTGTTAACTTATTTTAGTGTATAAACTCACTCTTTCTTTTGATAGTTCGATTGTTAATAAATAATTTGAGAAGAGATTTTAGGATGCGTTCATTAATCATCATGGAGCGGAAAATGCTTCGACTCCACACCTTTCTGCTATTTTCAGAATTTTTATTTAAATTGGTGAGAAAAGAGAGAGGAAAGTTTTGTATCGTCTATATATTTTAGATTGTAATTAATAGTTTAGCTCAATTCGACCAAATAGAATTTTTTAATTGGTCAATTTTACGTAACTAGGCCTAAGGCATATCCATCTCCACCCCGCTGTCCAATACTTATGGAAGCGAATCAACTCGAAAAAAAGAACTAAATAGAGCAAAATTTGAAAAAAAAAGAAATCATCAGTCACTGCCCTGAAGCAATCCAATAAATAATACTGTGAATAATAATAATTTAATAAAAAAAACATTACCTTGCGAACCATCCCGAAAGAAATTATTAAACAAAAATATTTATTGATAAATAAAATTAAATATAATACTTATGTGGGCAACTTAACCATCGAAATCCGTCGAATTTTCAAAATTATCCTGAAAAGTTTTATTTTTATTAATTGCACGTTGCGAATTTTGTTATAAAAAATAATAAAAACAAACAAATTTAAAAAATAATAAAACAAACCCTCTTCTTCGTCTGATTTAGACGGTGTGTATGTTTCATATTCATGTTGACTCATTCGTTCCTTATTGTTGAGTCATTTACTCCCGGAGTATGTCATGGTCATTCATCTTTAATTCTAGGAACAAGGATATATTTTTTTGGTAGAAAAAATGAAAGTACAAATGATGTATTCTATCTTGATGTGTCTCAACCATTTAACACAGGTCTTCCGCCATGGACCGACCTTACATTAAATTCAGAAATAAAATTTAGAAGTTGTTGGACGACTACTGTCGCATTAAACGAAAATGATAATAATCCGACCATATACCTTATTGGAGGATCTAAGCTTAGTCAAGATAGTGTAGATTCATTGACCCCAAAAAACTATTCAACCAAAATTCCAACTGCAGCTGTTCTACATCACTAGTCAGTAATAAACCACCACAAAAGAATTATCTCCTATATTATTATATTTATCCACACGAATTTTTTCTTGTCATAATGAGAACAACCAAATTATACAGATAACTTCATGGGGCAGAGCCCTTTATGTTTCACTTCAAAAGTTGGTTGAGGTGGAGCCTCTAATAATTCCGACTAGGAATACTATAATTTTTCCGAAAGAAATTTGGCAAGTTTTATTACTGCACTGCTTTAATTTTGGTTTATATATTATTTAAAAAAAAAAAAAGATTTTAACCTCCAAGATATTAACATTAAAATTAAAGTAAATGTTCAGATTCTTATAACTGATATGGTTGAAAATGTTTATTTATAAACAAATTGTGCAACACGTGATAATGAGGATTCCAAACTTTAAAAATTGTAATTAACGGAAAATGGCGACTCGAATGATAATTCGGATGATGACTCCAATAATGAAGCTTCGTCCCACAAATCTGATGAACTCATGAGATAACACATCTAATAGTTGGCGCGGCAATAAAATCCTAAAATCAAAAAAAAAATTTTAAATATAGAAAAATTTCAAAAAAAAAACTATTCTATCCTTATTTCTAATATTGTCGCAGTACTAAGAATCTAAAAAATGTAAATACCTCCACTCGTTGCCACAGTAAAATAGAGAGAAGCAAATATCCGAACGGATTTGGTAAATCAATTATAAGTAACTGGAGCAGTAAATATAATAAATTAATGACGAAAAAAACTCGATGAGTGCAACTGAAAATTTCGCCTAAAAGAAGTTAATATTTATCAAATAGCAAACTTGTCCCATTATCGATAAAAAATACTACACTTACACCATTTGAAGAAGTAAACTTTACATGAAATAAAATATCCGTTAGCAATTATTTTTTACGAGGAGCGTCACAAACTGCAGTAAGATCTTCATACCTCATATATTGTTACGTTCTGTTATCGTTATACAACATACATTCCTCCAAAAGTATCACTCATAATCGTTCATGCTTATCAGACTACGAAAGATCAAAAATAAATGATGACGTAATGTGTGCCTCGTAAGTTTTATTTTCATAATTAATTTGAAAACAACCAAAAAAATTATTTTTTATCTAATTATAACAAAAATTTTTCCGATTCAAATTATCACCATCGTTATTTTTATTAAGTACCAATTATTTCTAAAGTGCTGTGCCTCACATTCGTACTACAGTAAGATCTACATATCAAGACAATATGTATTACTATAATAATTTTTTTTTTTTTTAATAAAAAAAAAAAACTTATTTTTAATTATAAATTATAAAAATGTCTAATAATAATTATAAAGGTAATAGAGTAATAAAGAAACTAAAAATATTTTCACCAAACAAGAAAAAGGAATAAAAGATATGAAGCTTCGTATGACTAAAATTAGTTAATTTGACGGTTTGATAATATTCTAATCTTTTTTTTTATGAATTTATATTAGAGCCAGTTTCGGATATTAAAAAAGTTTCCTCATTAGAAGGTAATACATGCCGTTAATTATACTCATTTTTGTTTGTTAAAAATTAAATTTATCAAATTCAAAAATAGATACAGTTTCAATTGATAAAGGTAAATACAACAATTTCTATAAATAACCAATACTAAAAGAATCTGTTACTTATATTTTATAATGTAGAATTGACCTTGGATAATGAAAGTGAATATAATAATTACCATATTACTGTAATTTGTCATTTGTTATTTATGTTTTTATTTACTAAAAATTTTAAATAAACTTGAAATATAATATTAGTTTCAAGTGATAAAGGTAAATACAATAGCAAATATAATTAATCAACAAATATATTAACCTATTAATTAATAATACTCAATAATTGTTCAAATATTAGAAAAATTAAATGGTAAAAATATTTATAAATTGTCTAAATATTTAGATTTTTTTCTATAAATAATTTTAATTAATTCAAAATTTCTCAAAATCAATACTATAATATAATCAGTTTCAAATAATCCTACATTAAAAGAATTAAATAGTAATAAATTTATCATCTATTATTTATTTATATAATTATCTAATAATTAATATTTTTTAAAAAAAAAAATTTAATAATAATACTTAGATTGTAAACCGTTTAACTTTATTATATTTTAATTTATTTAATTAAACTATAATTAATAATCAATAATATTATAGGGAGTAAGTTATTTATTTTTATATTATAATTTGAACTTAATTTATTATTAAAAATTTTTAATATTAATTAATGATTTTTAGTTGGTAAATTATTTATATTTATAATTTTTACTTAATATTTATTTATAATTTATAAATAATATTTTATTAAAATAAAATAATTTAGATGGTAAATTATTTTATTAATTCTTTTTTTATATTTATTATAATTTATATAAAAAATATTAATTTCTTTATAATATTATAGAAAGTAAGATATTAATTAATAATTATATTTTTTATTATAATATAAAATCAACTAAATTTTTTATTTAAAAAATAAATTTTATTAGATTGTAAGTTATTTTTATTAATTATAAGTATATAATTATACTTGTAACTGTAATTTAAAGTTAATTAAATTTTTTTATTTTAAAAAATAAATTTTATTAGGTAGTAAGTTATTTTTATTGATTATCAATATTTAATTATACTTATTATTATAATTCAAAGTCAATTAAATTTTTTATTTAAAAAATAAATTTTATTAGAAAGTAAGTTATATTTATTGATTATTAGTGTTTAATTATACTTATTATTATAATTTAAAGTTAATTAAATTTTTTATCTAATAAAATAAATTTTATTAGTTAGTAAGTTATTTTTATTAATTATCAATATTTATTTATACTTATT